TCCACAAGACTTCTCTACCACAGCCTACGTACAGCCATTCTTTGCTCTAGGTTCCACAAGACTTCTCTACCACAGCCTACGTACAGCCATTCTTTGCCCTAGTTTCCACAAGACTTCTCTACCACAGCCTACGTACAGCCATTCTTTGCTCTAGGTTCCACAAGACTTCTCTACCACAGCCTACGTACAGCCATTCTTTGCTCATGCTGTCAAATTTTTCTTCAACTACGAGGGTGTTTTAAGCGTGTGTGCTGAACATTTTACTTTGTTTATACGTCTATGCCCCTTCCGTAATACCTTGCTCTCTCCGATAGCGGCACATAACAATCGTTTTTGTAAACAACCCCAGTGAAAAACCCCCAACACTGTTACGGTAACAGTAATTGCAGCTAAATCATTTTTTTACCAATGTCTGTAGCAACAAGTGAAACAGCCACAAAATCGACTAAAAATGACTCATCTTTGGTCATATTTTATCGGTAATTTCTTTTCGATTAAACACCAAGACACCTTTAATACCTTTTCAGTGACATGGAAGTTGACTCGCAAACAACGAACATTTATAAAAAAGGAAATGGTCAAATGGACTGCTAGAAGTACATGTTCTTTTTAAACATTTAAATTGCACCTTTGTTTATTTCTTTTTTTCTCTTTTCCTTTTTCTTACTTTCGGTTTCTTATTTTCTTTCGTTTGATCTTTTTGTAGCCACATGGACTGTTATAACCTTCCGTTTATTTGGAGCAGCACTTAATTCTGCTGTGTTTCAGTTCTCCCACCCTGTCCCCCAGTAGCATCATGCCGGAAGTGTCCAGGTTTGCACTTCCGAGTCCGGAGGGTAACTTTTGCCACACAAATTCATGATTCCATTTAAATTCCATCTGGCGCCTGTAATCTCCGGAACAGGGGGCACATTGGTCACCACAGGAAGAAGGAGAATACGTGGTGGTGGTGGCTAGGGTGGTGGCGATGGTGGATAAGGAGGAGGAGAAGAAGAAGGGTGGATGGAAAAAAGGAGGAGTAAGGAGATGGAAGACTTTTCGAATGACTGGAAAGCTCACCCTCGTAGACATTTTATCTGACATAGACACGTAACAAACTAGTGGTGTACTCGTACTCGGGTCGGAACAGAAGATCAGAGCCACCCGTTCCTTTTCTTTTATTATTTTGGCACATACATCACCAACATCGTGTCGATAGTGCCGTAAAACATATACTCAATCATCCAATCAATCAATCAATCAATCAGTCGACGCTTTGGTAAGAGAGAAATAATAATAGGCTGAGACAAAAAACGACGGACAGAGATATGAAACTGATATAAAAGGACGACTGATTTGAAAATATTGTCGGCGGGAAAAGGGATGGAGAACGACTCAGAGAAAAAGGTAGAATATGAACACGATATACACGTATACAAACGGAGTACGAGAAGGAGGGGAACATGATTTCAAGTCTTTCCAGACGTCGGGGAAATTAGAAATT